AGACTTACAGCCAGGTAGGGAAATGAGAGAATTTCATAGTGGGAAAAAAAGGGAAGATTTCAAGTATGCCCTGATTGGAGGCTATTGTTGTGGGGAAGCTGTAGGCAGCTAACTGTAAGTGGGACATCCTGTGTGATTGGCTAGGGGAATATATTTGGCTTTCTCTGGTTGGCCCCAAGTTGGAAGTAGGGAACAACAAAAGGGAAGTTGGCAGTCACTGACTGAATCCTCACCATTCTGCACTGATTGCTCTGAAAGTTGTGGTTTGATTCCCCTGCTAGTTTCGACAGGGGTTGTGGGTCAGAGTTCTGTTGTCATATATAGTCTGGTCACTGTCCCTTTGTATCAGTCAGCAAATAGCAGGAGAAGGTGATAGCAAATAAAATATGAGAACAAGTGAGGTAGAAGCTCAGAGTTGGCAGTGAACCATGGGAAAGTAAATAAACATCTGCAGATTCCCAGAAATCTTAGAAAGGACACCAAATGCTTATGTCATTGGGTCCTGAGGGTTTTACTTACAACTCAAGATTTGGGATGACCTCAGCTGATAACTAGGATACAAAAGCAAATTAGGTTTCATCTTATTTTAAAGAAATTGGTACTCAGACTGGGTGCAGTGACTCAAGCCTGTAATTCCAGCACTTTGGGAGGCCGAGGCAAGAGGATTGCCTGAGCTCAGGGGTTCAAGACCAGCCTGGGCAACTTCATGAGACCTCATCTCTACAATAAATCAAAAAATAAGCTGGGTGTGGTAGCACGTGCCTATAGTTCCAGCTACTTGGAAGACTGAGGCAGAAGGGTTGACTGAGCCCAGCAGGTCAAGGCTGCGGTGGTTGTGAGTGTGCCACTGCACTCCAACCTGGGCAACAGAGTGAGACTGATGCATTTAAAAAAAGAAAAAGAACAAGTTTTTTCTGATGCTGTGCCCAAGTAGTCATATTAATGGTGTTTCCAAGAGCCCCTTTCTGTCCCTGTCCAACTCTGCTGCCTCACTAGCACATAAGTGATATGCACTACCTCCAGAGATTTGGCACCAGAGACTGAAACTAGAACTTTTGCTTATTTTGTCATCATGAACTAATCTCTCCCAACCTAGAGTTACTTTCTCATCTTTGACTGGTTGTTCATAGATTATTTATCTAGATGATTGTTTTAATTTCATCAGGACATTTTCAAATTAAACCCAAAGTAAATTACTCTAACTGTCTTTAAAAATAGAAGTCATCACATGGCTTTGAGACCTCTAAATCTAACTCTTAGTAGCTATTTATTTCTAGTATTTCTAGTGATCAAGCACGTAACAACAACAATAAAGCTTACCTCCCCCTTCTTCTAATAAACCCTAACTAACCTGCATGGTTCTATTTATGTACTGATATTTTATATTTGTGTATATTCATATTTATACATGGGCTCATTTCTTTCCTAGACCTTAGTAGCTATTAAATTTTGTAGAGGTGGTAATAAAATCCTCTTGCCTATGTACTGACAGCCTATCTAAGTAATTTCTTTCATGTTTGTATATGTATCTGTGTTTAATGTGGGTCTATACACAATTCATGTTTGTGTACATGTTGGGATGTGTCAGTTGAATAAAAATTTTTCTGTATCTTCTTGAAAGTAGAGGAAATAACCCTTGAGGTTAATGCGGGCATATATTGAAATGTTTTCTTAAATTTCCTTTGTTGGTAATACTCTTTCTGCTTCTTACTAAGTTCCCATATGTATCTGTTTCTAGACTCTTTTGCTTTGCTCTCTGTCTGTCCCTATGCTTGTTTCATTTTATTTCCTTCATAGTTGTAATGCAGTAATCCAAAATATGAGATGGCTTGTGCATAATGTTTACCTATTTCAAAGAAGTCACCTGGAGATCCAGCAGGGAAAGACATTGGTTTATCAAAACTTATAGGAAGCATCAATGGCAGCAGGTCATAAAGAATCTGTACCTTGGGGCAGTATAGCAAGCAGTTTTATAATCAAAGCAATATGCTGATTAAAAGTGATAACTACATTGTTTTCAGGTTTGCTTGGTCACCAACATCTCTTGACTCATTATCGGGAATATGTATACCCTTCAGAGACCAGTTGCTCTGAGGGAGCTCCCTGAGGGAGGGTTAGAAAGAAGCCAGGTATAGAGGGAAGTAGTTTATGTTTGGACAATACCTCACAATAGTAAATGTGGAAATTTGTTAGGGTTAACCTTTCCCGTGCTTTTTTGAAAGTTTTGTTATTCTTGAACCTCTACTTTCCATATATTTTGTGGACTCAATCTGGGGATTTCATGAAACCTTGTTTCATAGTTTCATGTTGGAGTATTTATTTTTGTTTCGTTGGAATTGCAGATTAATCTGTAGTGATTTGACCTCTCTGAGTCTCTTTATTAATGACTGTTTTACTATCATTTATTTACTTTTCTAATGTTTTGGTTTCTTTATGTAGATCTGAATTTCTGACCTAAATATCATTTTCTTTCACTCTCAATAACTTCTTTTGATATTTCTTACAAGACAGATCTACTGGAGAAAATTGAAAAATTTCTTTAATCTTTGTTTATGTAAGAAAGTCTTTATTTCTCCTTCACTTTTCACAAATAATATCTCTGTGTACAGAATTCTAGGTTGGTGTTTGTTTTGTCTCAACACCGTGAAAATTTCATTCTAACGTGGTGTGTCAGGTGAAATGAGCTGGGATAAATGAACCTTTAGTATGAGTTTTGTCTTTACCAAAGCCTAGGAGCTAGGCAGTGTTTACTGTTTGTGGTGGCTGTGGGTTTCAGAGACTAAAATTTCCTCTAGTGACCTTGATTTTGTCTCTTCTGTTGTCATTGTGTTTCCCTAAGATCTCCTTTTTAAACAATATCTGTGTCTTGTTACTTTCTTAGTTGTAATTCTGTGTTGTTATACAGAAGCCCTGTTAATTTGGTAGTAAGGTGTAGGGGAAAGGGAAGTGTTCTGTAGTCCTATGATTAGATCTTTTCAAGGGCGCCTCTGCACCTAGGCTTTGTCCTTCACAAGTGCTTCTCAGCTCCCCCTCTATGCTCCAGAAGTGACAGGAAGGCTAGAGGGGGGCTGGAGTTGAGTATTTACCTTCCCCCAGGTTAGTTAAATTGCTAGAACCTCAGTAGGTTAGGCAGTTGTGAAATAGTTTCCCTTGAGACCAGGCCTTTGTTAACAGGAAAAGAATGCTCCAGGCATATTTCATCATGGTTAAGTTTCCCCTCCACCTGCCAGAAGCACCACGAGATTTTTCTCCAAGTTCACCCTGAGAGCTAGGCGGGACTCCTAGAGGTAAAATTTCCAGAAGCAAGGGGACTCTCCTAAAATTGAGGCTTTCCTAAAGCTGGGCCTCCAGGATTTTTTAATCTCTCAATTTAGACCATGCTCAGTCATTAACGATACACCAATTACCCTTTAAGTTTTTGTATTAGTTGCTGGCTTCAGTACACATTCTGCTTCTGGTAAGCTGTGATTCTCTGAATTTGCTTGTCACTCCAGTATGGAGGACAGTGGTTTACCCCTTGACTTCAATTCTCTGATGCAACTAAGAAAAGTTGTCAGTTTTCAGTATGTTTAGCTTTATCCTTTTGTAAGGATGGTTGTGATGATTTCCAAGCTCTTTACATGTCAGATTAGAACCCAGAAGTTCATCAATGATTATAATACCTATAAATATTATATACAGGTACCTTAGAATTTTATTGATGTTGTAAACGGAATTTTTTTCAAATTATGTTATTTAATTGGTTGTTGTAGGTATATATCAGTACTGTTGATTTTTGTGTATTTGTCTTCTAACAATTTTGCTTTTTTGGCCATACTTAATTGTTGTTTTCTAAATTTCTTGTGATGGATCATTTGTTTCAGTCTTCTCTCTCCCCCCCTTTTCTTTTCTTAAGCAACATTTTTTTTTACAACTCTTCTCTTAATATATACTCTTAAAACTTTAAGATGGGTGTTGATCATTTGATAGGTGTTGATAGTGGCATGTATTTCTTTCCATTGTATAGTTTTTGCTTTTGACATAACTGGAAGTTTGGAGTTCTCAAAATACCTTGGTGGAGTTTAATATCTGTGCTTTGAGTGATATGAGTGGAAGATTAGTGGAAGCGGGTCAACAAAGCATTCCTGGTTCTTGGATCCTTGTGTAAATATCTAGATAGAATATCACATATGGAAAGTAGAGATAGAACAGGTTAATACTGTTAGGCCAACAACCATATATGGAGATCCTTACTTCAACGGCATTGTTTCATTGGTTTGGACAGCAAGATGTTGTTTGACTCTATACAGTTTCTGTTGCTCTTTTATCAATGTAGAAAGAACAAGCACACCCACAACAGGAAATTTGTTTATTGTCACAAATATAGTTCATCAAATGAAACTGTAGGTTTCAAAGTTAGATTGTAGTAGTGATTTGTCCTTTCTTCATAGGTATTTTGGAGAAATAAAGCTTGTTAGTTTGGGTTAATTTTCAAACTGTATTTAATTGTGCTCTGTCTGATATAATTGGGAAATTATAGGGGTGGTTTGTATAGTGGATTTACATTTTTTGGGGTCTATATCTCAATATAACCAAACATAACTTGTTATAATTCTCTTATATATTGGAAAAAACATGAAGATTATATACTTCTTTTCTCCCCAATATTTTGATTGCTGTTTAGCTTAAACTTAAGTAATAATCACCAGCTTACACATATTAATTTGATGGTTTAATGTGCCAACCAAATTTTGCATTATGTTCTAAAGTTCCTATTATAAGCCCTGAAGGTTTTGAGAAGTTACTGTTTTGATTTTTATAATGTCATTTTGACCCGAGGGCTTTTTGGAATTAAATGAGCTTGGTGGTTTATTAAGTGTCATAGAGAGTTTAAATCTAGGATAAATTTAGCTGTTTATTTTTTTTCACTCCTTTGATCAGTGATTCTGTTCATGGAAAAGTCATAGATAGTGGTTTATAATCAGTCTTGTGTTTGAACTAAGTTTCATGCTTTATTTTAGGTTGTTGATTATATCCTGCCACCCTTGGTCTCCTTGGTTCAAAGCCAAAATGGTAAGTGTTACCACACCAGCAAGCATTCCATCAGCTATGCATTCTGTTTTCATTCTATCTCCATGTAGTCACATTCTTGGCATTGTTTTCTTTCAAGTGGAGTGGAGACTCTTCAGTTTGCGGTTGCTCTCAGAAACCACATCTCTACTTGTGAACCAGGAGTTTGGGGATGATGAGGAGGATGCCAATGTTGATTCTGACAGCAGTCTTCTGGCTCTCATTAGAGATGTCTTGCTTCCCCAGTAAGTATCATGCAGCTGTACTTATGCAGAGTAGTGTAGGAAGTCCAGGGAGCTTCTGTCAAACTAGTTTCAGTGATAGGGTCGGGGTCTTGATGTCCTTATATTATGCACATATGCTTGTGTACTCATTGAAAAGAGACCTAGAAACAGAGGCAGTAATTGTTAGACCGTAGAAGACTCAGAAAAATCACAGTCCATTTTGAAAAACATCCATTTAGAGATTAATCTATTTCTGCCGGGCATGTGACTTTGAAGTTATGCAGATTTAAATGTGTTCATGACTCAAAGGGTAAGAGTTATGATTCAAGATCAATATTACTAGAATGTGAAATTGAGATTTTTCTTGACTACTCAGAAATAATAGACATGGAAGGAAGAGTTTACTTCCCCTAAACTCTTTGAATGGAAATTAAGCTTAGTTACAAACAGGATTTTTTTGAGTGTGGCAGGAGGTGTTAGAGCAGGTAATGAATGTTAGTTTATAGAAAGAGTTTTTAAATTATTTTACTCCATTGCTCATACAGCAAATGCACACTAACAGTACCTAATGCTAATATGCAAAACTCTAAAATGGCACTTTATCTTCAGAGTATGCTGTCAGTTTTATCAAACAAAGTAACTTAAGTTTAAAAAACAGTGTATGCATATGTTTATCACAGCATTGTTCATAATAGCAAGAACATGGAATCAACCATGCTGCCTATCAAAAGAGGACTGGATAAAAAAAATGTACATATACACAATGGAATACTATGCAGCCATAAAGAAGAACAAAATCATGAACTCCACAGCAACCTGGATGGAATTAGAGTTTATAATACTGAGTGATCTCTCACAGAAACAAAGAACTGAGTATCACATGTTCTCACTTATAAGTGAACCTTGAACAATTACCATATTATTATAAGAAAAGAATTGAAAGTGGCGGGAAACTGCAGGGACGGGAGTGGAGGGGTGGGGAGGTGGGATTGACAGTAGTTGATATCTGCCTGGGGAAGCGGGGCACACCTCATCGATAAGGATACCTGCACAGTGAATATTTGTATACCTAGCCTTGAATTGTACCCACAATTTTAAATTAAAAAAAACAAACAGGTCAGGTATCACTGTTAAGATTTTTGCAAAATTAAATGCCAGATTGTGTATGAGGTATTTTGCATTAATTTGCATGCCTGATCATGGCTTCCTTCAAGGTTGGGCTTCAGTCAGAGCCAGTTCAGAAGACTTATAAGAATGCTAGCCTTACTTAATGGTCTTTACTTAATGGTCCTCTGTTCAGCTTCTTAAGATTTGTTCTCATTAAAAAAAAAATTACTATCACAAATAGAAACCAAAAGAACTTTATAAGACCTTTATGACAGGATAAACTCTCACATTTCAATAGTCAGCCTGAACGTGAATGGATTAAATGCACCACTGAAAAGGCATAGAATGACAAACTGGATTTAAAAAAAACAGCCCAACACTATGCTGCCCTCAGGAAATAAGGACACCCAAAGACTAAAAGTTAGAGATCGGAAAACAAACTTTCAGGTGAACGGAAAACAAAAGAAGGCAGGAGTCAAGATCTTAATATCAGACAAAACAACCTTCAAGCTATCAAAACTTAAAAAAAGATTGAGAAGGACACAACATAATGATAAAATGTTCAATCCGTCAACAAGAATTATCCATCTTAAATATATATGCACCCAACACAGGAATACCAGGATTTGTAGAGCAACTACTAAGTAAACTAAAAGTTATTGGCTCTAACACTATCATACCTGGGGACTTAAATACCCCACTAACAACTCTAGATACATCATTGAGGCAAAAAATCAACAAGGGGATCCAGAACCTCAACTTGACACATGATCAAATGAACTTAATAGATACCTACAGAACACTCCACTCAACAACCATGGAATTTATTCTACTCATTACCACATGGAGCATACTCCAAGATCAATCACAATCCTTGACCATAAATCAAGTATAAACAGATTCCATAAGATCAAAATAGTACCATGTACCTTCTCAGACCACAGTGGAATAAAAATGAGTATCACCACCAACAAAATCCTCTCAAACCACAAAAGACATGAACACTTAACAGCATGATGCCGAACAACTCCTGGGTCAACACAGAAATCAAAACAAAGATTTAAAAATTCTTGGAAACAAATGAAAACAAAGACACATCTTACCAAAAACCTCTGGGATGCCATGAAAACAGTACTTAAAGGGGAACTTATAACTTTATGAACACACATCAAGAAAATAGATCAAGAGTCAACAGCCTAACAAATCACTCAAGGGAGCTGGAAAGGCAGACCACCAAAATTGTAACTTCAGCAGAAGAATCTCGATCACCAAAAAAAAAGCCCAAATATGGGACATAGAAGACAAAAATATCATAGAAAAAAAAATCAGTGAAACAAAAAACTGGTTCTTTGAAAGGATAAATAAGATTGATGGACCCCGAGCCAGACTGACAAAAAAAAAAGGAAAGAAAAGAGAGAAAGACCAAATAAACACAATTACAAATGCAAAAGATCAAGTCACAATTGACTCTGAATAAATACAAAAGATTATCAGAGATTACTATGCATACCTGTATGGAAACAGACTTGAAAACCTAAATGAAATGGAGGACTTTCTGATATCACACGACCTCCCAAGGTTGAAACAAGAAAAAATTTAGATCCTAAGTAGACCAATAACCTGAGAAATTGACTCCATGATAAGAAAAGTACCCACCCACACACACACAAAAAGCTCTGGACCAGATGGCCTTCCAGTAGAATTCTACAAAACAAACAAGGAGCTAATACCAATCCTATTGAAAGTATTCCAGATAATTGAGAAAGAAAGAACTCACCCCAAATCATTTTATGAAGTTAACATCACTGATACCCAAACTAGGCAGAGACTTAACAAAGAGAACTTTAGGCCAATAATCCCTGTTGAACATAGATGCAAAAATTCTCAACAAGATTCTAGCAAATTGGATTCAACAACACATCTCAAAAATCATCTACCATGACCAAGAAGCACATGATTATATTATTAAATGCAGAAAGGCTTTTGACAAAATCTAGCATCCATTCTTGATAAAAACCCTTGAACACCTAGGTATAGAGGGAACATACCTCAAAATAGTAAGAGCCATCTACAATAAACCCACAGCCAACATATTACTAAATGGAGGGAAATTGTAAGCATTTCCCCAGAAAACCAGAACAGGATAAAAATGCCCATTCTCACCCCTCCTGTTCAACATAGTGTTGGAAGTCCTAGCTAGAACAAACAGACAAGGGAAGGAAATCAGGGGTCTCCAATAGGAAAAGCGGAAGTTAAGCTATCCCTCTTTACTGATGATATGATCCTAACCCATAAAACCCAAGGGAATCTGTCAAAAACCTTCCACTGATAAAGGACTTCAGTAAAGTCTCAGGGAATAAAATCAACATGCACAATGGCCACACATACACAAAAAAACCTTGGCATCTTTCTAACCAGAGAATTGAAAGACTTTTATAATGAAAAGTACAAAACAGTGCTCAAAGAAATCAAATGGAAAAATATTTCATGCTCATGGATTGGAAGAATCAACATTGTTAAGATGTTCATCCTACTCAAGGTAATCTACAGATTCAATGTAATACCCATTAAATTACTATTATCATTCTTCTCAGACCTGGAAACAACAATACAGAAATTCACGTGGAAACAAAAATGACCATGTATAGCCAAAACAATCCTCAGTGAAAGAAAGAAAGCAGGAGTTGTCACACTCCCAGACTTTAAACTTTATTATAGGGTTACAATAATCAAAACAGCCTGGTCTTGGTAAAACACAGGCACATAGACCAATAGAACAGGATAGAGAGGGCAAAGCAAAACCTCAACTCTTTTTTTTTTTTTTTTGGTGAGAAAGCAGGATTTATTGAGAGGACAGAAAAGCTCTCACAGCAGGAGGGGACTTGGTGGGGTTGTGCAAAACTTCAACTTGTTAACCAACTAATCTTCAACAAAGCCTCCATCTGGGGAGCGGAGAATGTATTCAGTAAGTGACGCTGGGAAAACTGGCTGACCATGTGTAGAAAAATGAAACAGGATCCCTACCTGTCACCATATACACAAAATCAACTCCAAATGGATCAAAGACCTAAATGAAAAACCTCAAACTGTAAGACTCTTAGAAAACAAAGGAGACATCCTTATGGAAATTGGAATTGGCAACCATTTCCTGATCAGAACCCCAAAAGCCCATTCCATGAGAGATAAGATAGACAAGTGGGACCTCATCTAACTGAAAAGCTTAAACAGCCCTCAGAATAGGAAAAAATATTTGCTAACTGCATATCGGACAAAGGTCTAACATCCAGGATTTACAAGGAACTCAAATGTGCTGAAAGGAAAAAAAACAAACAAACAAACAGCCCCATTAAAAAGTTAGCAAAAGACATGAAAAGATGCTTCTCAAAAGAAGACATATGAGCAGCCAACAGACACATGAAAAACACTCAGCCTCACTAATCATCAGAGAAATGCAAATCAAACTACATTGAGATACCACCTAACTCCTATGAGAATATCCATCATTAATAAAACAAAAACCAACAGATGCTAGTGAGGATGTGGAGAAAAGGGAACGCTTCTTCACTGTTGGTGAGAGTGTAAACTAGTTCATCCTTTTGGAAAACAGTGTGACGATTCCTAAGAGAACTAGAAATTGACCTTTCATACGACCCAGCAATCCCCCTATTGGGAATATACCTGGAGGAGCTCAAATCATTCTATAAAAAAGATACCTGTGCACACATGTATATTGCAGCACTATTCATAATAGCAAAAATGTGGAACCAACTGTGCTGCCCATTGAAAGTAGACTGGATTAAAAAATGGAATATTATGCAGTCATAAAGAAGGGTAGAATTATGAACTTTGCAGCAAATTGGATGGATTTAGAGTCTATCGTAGCCAGTGATCTATCACAGAAACAAAGAATTGAGTACC